TGCAGCAGATTTGCCTAATGCAATACATTGTTATCATAGGAACCCCTAATTCTTTGGGAAAGGGGAGGAATGGAGATATGTGAGAAAGCCATCTGGATATTGCAGTGAAAAGACAACCAACCAACCAGCCCTGGACTTAGAGCCGCCACACCTGTTTCTGAGTCTCATCCCCATCAATCACAAGAGAGCAATGTGACCTTGGATGGGTTCCCTAGTCTCTCCTAAGCTCAGAGTCCTGACCTGTAAGCACAGAGACTGGTGCCTCATGGAAGTCAATGTATGAAACCTAAGAGATGAGCAATGTAGAAGGGCGTGGGATGGTGCCAGCAGGTGGCAGGAGTTGGCTGTATTAGGGAAGGACAAGTGGAGGGGGCAGGGGACAAGGAGAGGCTGGAGAAAGGAGGGAGAGGGAGAAGGAACTCAGAGGAAAGGAAGAAGAGGGAGGAGCTCTGTTATATGGTCCCCTAGCACTTGGTACATTACTTTATAAAAACACTGTAAAGACAGACAAATGATTTTCTGAAAGAAATGAAGTACATGAACTCAAAATGAAAAGCATCTCCATTGATCAAATTCTCGGTAAGTGCCAGGCACTTCTGCTAAGTGTTTCCACAGGCAACCAGCTTTTCTGATAAACAGAAACAGGTCATGAGGAGTGGGAAGGCTGAGTCAGGAAAACGTGGTTGGAGGAAGGAGGCTGTGGCCCCCGGGCTTCCCAGCTACTAATCCACAGACAGGGGAGGGGTCCCACAAGTGGGATGGGGGCATTTGAGGTGGTCTCCACTTTTCAAGCTGTGACAGTTCCTAGGGGACACTACATGCCAGTTTGGAATCTTGAGCAGGTTCTTTGCCTCTCTGACCTGTTTCTGCAAATGTAAATTGTAGCTTTTCATTTTCTTCCAAGAAGAACTGTGAGGTGAACTGCCTCGAGACAAGGCCCACGCTCATCATGAGAAACCAAGACTTTGTAGCAGCATTCTCATCATTTCATGATTAATTCTATGTTTGCACAATCTCTTTCACGTCTGAGTTTTCACCCTAGAGGGGTGGAAGGGGTTGCTACGCACTGATTTGGGACTCCAGATGAACAGTCCCTTATCCCCCAGTGCAGTCTCTCTTAGCGTTGTCTCAAGGTGTAAGGAAAACCAGTTTTCACTGAAAATTCTGTTTTCAGTTAACAAAGCTTTATATCCCTTAGTTCCATACTCCAGATAAGCAATGGATGCAAACCACAAGGTCCATGGTTCAAGCCCGCCAGCTGCTCTATGGGAGAAAGATAAAGCTTTCTATGCCCACGAACACTTAAAAAGCCTTGGAAACCCTATACAGGGGTCATTATGAGTCAGTGCCATCTCCAGGACCATTAACAACAACATCTCACCTTCACAATGATTCTCACCTTACAGAGGAGGACACTGAGGCCCAGAGGACCAAGGCCTGTGGATTCATATGGGTTGTGGCAGCTGTGTGTCACCAAGTTGTTCTGACTCATACAACTCTGTACAGGTTTCCAAGGCTGTCAATCTTTACAGGAGCAGAAAGCCTCATCTTTCTTCCATGGAGTGACGGGGAGATTTGAACTGATGACCTTGTGGTTAGCAGCCCAGTTCATAACCACTATGCTACCAGGGCTCCTTTGATTCATATTGTTGTTGTGAAGTGTTGGCGAGTCGGTTCCGACCCATAGCGATCCTGTATAGGGTTTCCGAAGAGCAGCTGGTGAGCTTGAACCGCCAACCTTACAGTTCAAACGGCTTTGCAGTCTGGCGCATTAGCCGACAGTGCCACACCAGGACTCCTGATTCATATTGTTATCAAGTGCCACTGAGTCGACTCTGACCCATAGCAACCCTATATAGGGTCCAAGGAGCAGCTGGTGAGCCTGAACCACCGACCTTGCAGTTCAAACGTTTGCAGTCTGGCGCACTAACCCACAGCACCACACCAGGACTCCCCTGATTCATATTAGGCTTCTCTATTTCACTTTACCCACAAGGGCTCTGGGAAGCTCCAACATCCTCAGACCCAAGAGGAAATGAGCAAGACCAATGCCCCTGGATTTGCCGGTGCAGGACTCTGTGTCTGCCTCAGTGTCCAGTTCAGGGCAAGCTCTTTGCAAACTGCAACCCCCCACCTCAAGAGGAGGGGTAGTAACACATGATTAACCTTTCTCCATCCCTCCCATCTCTGACCCCCACATCCCACCAGACGGGTGCCCTACCTTGTGGGTGAGGCTGGGGCCTCTAGGAGCACTCTCCTCTTCCTCCGAGCTTGCCTGCTCTTCGTCCGATGTGAGGTCCTCTTTGGGGGCTGCAGCCGAGATGGGACAGACCTTGTAGGGTTCTGTGTAGGCACTGGGGTCAGACAGGGGAGAGAAAGGGTTAGAGTTCTCTTTCTAGCAGAGATGAAGGAACTCAGCTTTGGAGTGATGACACGAGCCATTCGTGAGTACCCTCCTCTGGGACTCAGAAATGAATAAGATCCAGAGAAAACCCTGGGCTTTAGGGAGACAAACAAGACTTCTTGTTAGACTCCGGGCAGGCTGGGATGCTGAAACCCAACCCTACTGTCCTCAAACCCATTCTGACTCACAGAGACCCCCTGTGTTACAGAGTGCTCCATGTGGTTTGCTTGGTTGTAATCTCTAAAGAGACACTTGCTATGCCTTTCTTTCAAGTCACTGCTGAGTGGGTCTAAACCCCGCAAACCAAGTGCACCACCCAGGGACTTAAAGCAATACTATACGCGTAAGAAAAGCTCAGGCTGGCTGCTTGCTCTTTGCATGGTGCAGGCATTTGGACTGGTGTGGTCAGGCAGCAGGGTCAGTCCTCAAGGTGGTCGTAGTTCCTGACACTGAATAGGGATGTTATGAAGCAACAGAGAGTCCAGGGCAGGGATCCACCTCCTAGCTCCTGTCTTGCCATCAGCTATATCCAGGACAAGATACAACTCTTAATCATTTCAGTTACTACCTAGCCTAACGGGGATTAGCAATGATTCCATTCTGGTTCTACCTCTTGTCAGGTGCCCCAAAAGCTTCCAACAGTGTAAAAACCATCTCATATTTATATACCTGTGACTATTATTACAAAGCTTACACAAGTGTGAACACAATCTCATATTACTATTACAAAGACACAGTCATTAATTAGCTAAATATTAACACACATATTGAACATTTATTGACTGCCTTGCTTTATGCCAGGCATGGGGCTAGGGACAGGGTTAAGCGCCACGGAATCACACAGATGTGGTCCCTGTCCTCAGAAAGCGCATAAATGACCAACAGTTGTGATAAATGAGAACCAAACGAAGAGACTAAAAAGGCATAAGCCCTTAGTTGGTCAGTTTCTCTGAGACTGAGACCAGGAGGAAAAGTCAGCCTTGTGACATCTAGGGATGTGGTCCAGGCAGAGACAGCAACATGTGCCAAAGCACTGAGGCAGCAAGGTGCTGGCACCTTCAAGTAATGAAAGAGACCAGTGTGGCTGCAGTGGGTGGGCAGGAAGGGTAGTGCACAGGATTGGGGCAGGAGCTAGACCTTATAAGGATCGAAACCACCCTAGAGCGGGACCCTCCTTTCCCTGCCCCAGCCTTCCTCTCTGCACAGCACAGTGACTTTTCTACAGCACAGATCAGGTCATGCCCCTCTCCTGCTCAAAAACCTTCAATGGCTCCCTCCTGCCATTGGCAATGCAACCCCAATAACTTCTCACACACTCTTCATACTCAAAAACCAGACATCTGCTCTAATTAAATATCCTTAAGTATTATTTAATTGATACAAAGTACTTACTCCTGCCCTCTGGGAATGACAGATGGATGGGCGGAAAGAAGGAAGCAACCATTCTCTAGGCTGGCTGGACTGACTCTCGCCCAGCCTCACACAGGCAGGACATGCGGGCTGTGGTCTAGACAGGGCAAGTGTAGCTGGGGTGGGGGACACAAGGGGAGGAGAAACAGCCTCAGGCTACAGCTGAATTGGGGCCCATCACTCTCAACTATCCTATGCTTGTCTCCAGAACCTGGAGTCCAAGCAACAAAGTGATTTTGAAAGAGCAGGCAAATGCCCCTGGTCCATGGTAGAGACTGTCCCTGCCTGGGTTTCCAGTGACACAGGGTGGGGAAGAGAGATCGTGGACTGTATATGTGTACACAGAGGCACAAAAGGAATCCTGATGCAGGCTGAGCTCTGACTTTGTTCCAAGCTGAGTCCTGATCCTGGACTTGAGATTAAGCCCTGAACCGGACCCTAACTGAACCCCTCTCCTGATCCTGTACATTAGGTTCTACAACAGCTACCATTTTGGAAAGGCATCCAACTTCTCCCTTTTAAAAATTTACCTTCTTGGTCTTTTCTTTCAGACCATAAGAATAGATAACATATTTTACAACAAGTCATATACCAGTGAAAAGTACAGCGATTCCCCCACGTCTCAGGAAATCCTACACCTCCTTCTGTGTGCTTGCCCCCCACCAAGGAGTTGTGCCAGGCAGAAGGCAGAAGTGCCACGCTTGCTTAGCAGGGCTCAGAACCACCATGTTTGCAAAATGACTGAATGGACCTGGGTCTCAGCAGCCAGCTTTCAGCCACCTGTGTGCAGTATGTGACTGTTTACCAGGCAGACAGAGGGACCTTGCTCCCTTTTAGGAGCTGTAGCAACACAAGGCCCAGCAGGAACCCCTGTGATCTGGTAGGATGGCGGGTCATGGTGAGGGGCGGAGCCACTACTGTGTCACTCCTCCACTGCTCAACCCAGGCCTTTCCTAGCCTGTACTACAGAGGGAGAACTGATTCCCAGCTCTCCTCTTCATCTCCCCTTTACTCCCGCCCTGTCTTGTTTTTGTGGTGTTTCCTAAACCTGAACCATTCCCCTACCTTTATGAGTTCTGCTCTAGCTGCACATGTCTGTCCTACTATTTACCTCATGTTTTCACCCCACTTTTAACTGATGCTCCTTACCCTGGCTCATCCTAAATGATAACATCTGAAAGTCCCAGAGAGCATTTTTCTAACATTTAAGACTCGAATTATTAAACAGTTTGGTTTGTATGTTGTATAATGCTGGCAGCTATGCCACCGGTATTTTAAGTCCCAGCAGGGTCACCCATGGTGGACAGGATTCAGGGGAGCTTCCGGACTATGACAGACTAGGAAGAAGGAGAAGTGGACCATTTCTGAATGGTAAGCCACTGAAAACCTTATGAATAGCAAAGGGACATTGTCAGATACAGTGCTGGAAGATGAGCCCCTCAGGTTGGAAGGCACTCAAATTATGGCCGGGGAAGAGCTGCCTCCTCAAAGTGGAGCTGACCTTAATGATGTGGATGGAACAAAATTTTGGAACCTTCGTTTGCTGATGGGACACAACTCAAAATGAGACAAAACAGCTGCAAACATCCATTAATAATAGGAACATGGAATGTACAAGGTATAAATCTAGGACAACTAAAATGGAATACATATATATTGCTATCGTAGGCATTAGGCAGCTGAAATGGACAGATAGTGGCCAGTTTGATTTAGACAATCATATGGTTTACTATGCTGGGAATGATAACTTGAAGAAAAGAGGATTTCAAGATGTATCTTACAGTACAATGCTATCTGTGATAGGATACTATCCACACACCACAAGAGCACCTGCTCCTTCTTCAAGGGTAGCAAGAGCTCTCCTAAGAGAATTTCATTGGAAAACATTATCCTATCCACCCTACAACCCTGATCTTGCCCCTTCAGACTTGTGTTGTTCTTGTGTCCCTGGCATTTGGATGGGGTGTAAATGGAAGAGTGCAGAATGCTTAGGGGGAAGGGTTAGAGAGTGCAGACACCATCCTCAGAAACATGTAGTCCTAAATGGAGGATATGTTAAGAAACAACAGCCTCATATTTTGATATTTTTGTCTAATAAATGTTTCTATGGTTTTATAGCAATAATTTTAAATTTACTATCATAGGATCAGCACTGGACTGGGAACCACAGGGTTGGCAGTTCAAACCCACCAGCCATTGTTTGGAAACCTATGAGTCTGAGTCGACTGGTACTTAACAACAACAACAACATATATTGTTAAATCATTTCAATTGAGTGACCCCTAACAACACCAATGCGCTGTGGGTTAATGTGTCAGACCGTAAAGTCGTTTGAACTGCAAAGTCGGCAGTTCAAGCTCACTAGCTACTCCTTAGAAACCCTATACAGGGTCACTATGGGTTGGAATCGACTCAACGACACTTAACAACAACAACAAAATCAACTTTATCTTTTCTGACAGATTTTGTGGGGCAATCTACTTGATTGCCACCTTAGCTCTCTTTTGATTATTACTTGCATAGATTTTTTTTTCTTTGGATTTAAGGTGTCTCTTATCAACAGAATATAGATGGATTATGTTGGGTTTTTTTTTCTTTCCAATCCATTTGCTACTCTGGAACATTAGTTCATTTACATTCACGGCAATTACTGACTTAGTTCTACCAAAATGTCACTTGTTTTTGTGTATCATAAGCCTTGTGTGTAACACTACAGGTTAATGCCTGGACTGCAACGTTGGTTTGAACCGACAGGAGGTCAGAGGTTCAATTTCACTAGCTGCTCCTTGGAAACCCTAAACAGGGTCCCTATGAGTTGAAACTGTCTTTGTCATTCAGTACTGCTTGCTTTTTTGTTTTGATGATTTATTGTAAGCTTTTTTTCTTCCAGTTTCCTTTCCTTTTGTGTTTGTTTTAAACATATTTTCTAGCAGCTACCATGAATATTTAAGACCTTGTCTTTATAACATTGTAGGGTACACTAGAACCAACTTCGCTTAGTACTACACAAGAAATTCTGTGTCTGTATCATTCTTCTCCCCTTTTGTGTTATTATTAATCCCATTTTTATATTTCATGTTCCCTGTAATATAATTCTATCCTTGCCTTTTATACATTTACTCTTAAAAAACATAAAGTACAATACATTTAGGATTACCATGCATTAATACCGTATTACATGAACATTTCCTTTTATTATGGAGCTTTCTTTTTTGTGTGGCTTTGAATACTTTACAGTGTCTTTGCCTTTCCATCTATCGAACTCCCATTAGTATTTATTGTAGAGCCAGTTTAGCGGATACGAACTCTCTCAGTTTCTGTTTGTGAATGTTTTAATTTCACCCTTATGCTTGAAGGATAGTTTCTCTGGGTAAAGTACTCTTTTTTTTTTT